ATTTTGGTTAAAAACTCTCACCATAGGCATTTGGGTTGCTTAATATGTCGTTGAAAACATTATATTTACTGACATAGACGACGATCGACTAAGAGAAGTTTGTATTTAGCTGATCAATGAGAGATACGAATTGAAAATCGGACAGCTCAACCATGTTATTAACAAAAGAAATGCATTTCCCAGGAGTAAAACCAGTAGCTAGCTGATTCGGCATGCAACCGAGAGGTCCAATGCCTGCCACCACGAACTTCCTTAGTCCCAAATTGTATAGTTCCTAAGAGGTCCAAAAGAAATCTTTTAATTACTACAACTCAATAAAAACGAATTTAGAAAAAGGTTAAAGAGAATATTGTTTTCCTGTTCCAAATTAAAAAACAAAAAAGGTCAATTGATGAATTTAAAATTACTACAATGCCTTTTTATTATATTAAATCATTTCTAGTATAAACTGACATTTTTTTTTTTGTTAAATAGGACTACAAAAACAATATTCTCAAAGGAAATTAATGTTTATATATGGTTATATACCGAGATCTGAATTTTGTAGTGTTTGATCAGGAGATCAGCGTAGCCTGAGCATTATAGGTGAAACTGGTGGAATATACTTCGGGCATGAGATAGTTATTGATGTGGTCGTTGCTGCCAAGTTCAAAAGCACTAGAGACTTTGCCAAGTATCGTGTTAGTTTTTCTTCATCCATTATGCTCTTTAGTTGGCTCAAGGTGCTGCCGAAGTTCAGCACTTGTTGACTTAAGCTAAATCTCTCTCCCTGTAGATCTCATAAATAAAATTTTGAGTCAATGAAAATGGGTAAAATGAGAAAAAAAAAATAATTGTTGGATCCTTCCTTCTAAAATAATTATTACTACAAACCTAAGAATTAAGAGTTATTTAAATTAGCTGTTTAGATATAAATGATAGTTAATAGTTAAAATATAACAACTAATAATTATTGTTATTTATATTTTAAAATATCTAATCAGTTCAGCTACAATTAACAGATGATAATAATTTATAAACCCCCAAATTGAACAGTCCCTTAATTAATTGGTTGGTATGATCGGTAATTAACATCTGAGCAAACTAAACTAGTGATTACTACAAATTGAGAGGATTATAAATTCTAACAAGTTGAAGGGCAAAATTGAAATATAAAATTAGGAGGAAAGGAAGTTAACTAGTTACCAAGAAAATCAATAATGTTCCTTCCATTACAGAACCTCCCCGTCGGCCTTCCATAAAAATCAATTCCATATGGAAGAAAGTTCGCCTTGGCAAGAGAGTTCAGATTATTATTGTTACCATCATCGACTAGCGAATCTCCGAACACGAACATGGCTGGAAATTGTGGAGATCCGATGACACCGTGGAAAATAAGAGTTATCAAATTAGCCATGCAGATGAACAACAAAGCAACTCGTCCTGTGCGTTGCACCTCTTTCTTCATGTTCATCGATAGAAATTTATAATACTGAAAATTGTAAATCTATCATCACCTTAAAAGAGAAATTTCGAAACGGTTTTGGATCAGCAAGTGTTGCTTTTTCATACTTTCCTCCTGGAGTTTGGCATGAAAGTTGCACTTTTCTTGTCCTTTACCGAGGTTTTTCTTTTCTCCCTTCCTATTTATCTCAATTTTTATACATATTTGGGAAAAGGGAAGGGGAAAGAAACGAGGGGAAATGAGTAGTAATGATGGGTTTGTTTTAAGAAAGCATTATAGCTATAATAGCATATGTTGTTGTTTGTAAGTTTATAATTTTCAAACTCTATTTTTATTTTTAGTAGATATAATTTAAATT